AGGAGCTGACCGGTCTGATGGAGCAGTTTGTGGATCTGGCCAAAAAGGGCGAGCACGAGAAGGGAGGCTGGGCCAACACGGCGTACGGGACGTCCAAAACAGGACTCACGGTACGACCAATCATCAGTCTACCTATCTATAAGCAATCCTTTATAATATAAGATACACCCTCTGTTAATACATGCAGAGTTAACATGACTAAACACAAGTTAATTATTTACACTGTTCCATTTATTTAGCATTGTTTACGCACTCATTGACTGCGTCTCTCTGTTGCCACCTATACTAGTCATGTTTAAACAATTTGAGAAACACTTTTATTTATCATTTATTTATTTCAAATCTGAATATTTACCAGTATACTCAAGGACCACACTTTGAGAACCACTGCTGTAGAGTATCAGATGACAGGACAGGACAGGTAGGAGTTCACACAAAAAAACATATTGTATTTAATATTACTCTTATCGGCCAAACTCAGGGATCAGATTTTTGAGGAATGCTTCTCCAATGCTATATTTAAGCAATAGCTCACGACAGGCCGTGGTATATGGTCATTATATCACAGCTAAGGGGCGTGGCTCGGCCCGACGCAAAGCAAATTATTTCCGTTACATTAATGTGTATGTTGCTGTTTATTGTGCACCCACTGAAAAACTGTCCAGCATCAGTAGCATGGCTTACGTGGTCACTTGTATAGGTTGAGGTTGTTCTAGGCTGTTGCTTGGCGTGGCGAGAATATTGCTCCACTTTCTCCGGTCCCCGAGATTGGGCTTCCAGTAGCTCTGGAGAGAGCTTTCGCACCTGTGGCCACTAACGGTCATAATTTCTCTGCTTTGTTTCAAGACCCGCATCAGAAAGCTTTTGAATGGTGGTACTTTTCCAGTTGGTCTACCTGCTCTTCACGTAGCTCTGCATGTCATCGTTTAGGTGCTTTCTGGAGATAGGCACTGCTCAATCCACTCCTCCATAGTAAGGCCACCCCGGAGGTCGAAGTTAACCTTAAATGTTTCCATCCCATCCCAGCAGCTGATCTCAAAGCACGCTCCCCTCTCCTGCAGGGGGGCGTGGTCAGCTGCAGCTCACAGAATCAACCAAACAGGGCTGGAAAGAGCAAATGGAGTGAAATGAGGCATGGCTAAAATGCAGGATCTGTTTGGTATTTTGAAAAAAAAACTATATTTGTATACTTTATATAGGTATGGCCCTACAATATATTGTTCAAATATAGCATGATATGTCCCCTTTAAGCTTTGTTAGTTTGTTTCGTAACGGACGTAATATAACGGTTGTAGCGGTTGTAGCTTTTTTCAGACGCTGAGGGATACTGACTTGTTGTGAAAAGTAACTACAATTTTAGCTGTGATATACGCTCATTATATCACGGCTAAGAACCAATCAGATTGCTTGATTTGACTTGTCCATTTTATCATTTCTGTTATAGAGACATTCAGGATTTAAGAATATGTTGTCATTTTGTAACACGGGGTTGCACAAGTAGTAGTCATTAAAACTATACATGGAGAATTTGACAAGACAGAGCAGTAGCAGGTCAGTAGTGCATTCCTGAAGTGAAGTTTGGTAATTTCAGCAGGAGATATACAGACAAACAAAATCAATGTGGCTATCTTTAAGAATACAAAAAATATCTGTGTGTGTTTTCAGGTCCTGACCATGATCCACGCTCGTCGCCTGACGAAGGAGAGACCTCATGACGGGGTAATCTCAGAAATACAACTTGTATATCTTTTAATCAAACAACAATAAGAGTGTCTTTGCATCTTTTTCATCACAATCAAAAACTTTGATTTGTTACCGGTGACTGCCTCAGATCTAATCTTTGTTGCTATGATTATAATTTTTCCTTCTATCTTGGTGAACGCTTAGGACTTTTCTGTTTTTGGTTTAATTTGAGGAAAGTTAATTTGCTATGGCTGCACTGCAACGTCAGTTTACTCTTATTAAACCTCTTTAATAATACAATTAAGAACACATTTTAATTATAGAGCAATATTTGTTTTTAATCCATTCTGTGTCTTTTCTTAAGTGTATTTTTTTATATTTCCTTGTGTCAATGCCTCCTTTAAAGCCTTTTGAATTTGAATTATTTAGTTGATATTTATTGATGTCTCCTTTCTCCTCAGATCCTGGTGAACGCCTGCTGCCCCGGCTGGGTCCGCACCGACATGGCGGGCCCCAAAGCCCCCAAATCCCCTGAGGAGGGGGCCGTGACCCCGGTGTTCCTCGCCCTGCTGCCGGCCGGGGCCACGGACCCCCACGGGAGGTTCGTCTCCGATAAGGAGGTCCAGCCGTGGTGAAGTGTGTGTGTGTGTGTGTGTGTGTGTGTGTGTGAGAGAGAGAGAGAGAGAGTTTGGCTTACACAACAATAATAAGGCCTCTATCTGCAAGTGCTGCTGTAATCACTTTGCCTTCAGTACTTCAACATTTATATACTTTTTACATGGAAAGAGGAACACTTGCCTTAACTGGATAAAGCTTAAATGTTGTGTAACAAATAAAAAGCTTTTCTGACATGCTTGTTTTATGTTTTTATTATTTTATTAGAATAATGCTGAGAAAACCCCCCATAAAGTCAGAATTTGGGGAATTTAGTGACATCTGGTGGTCAATAGGGATATTGTAATTTCGGAACTATATCGGAACTAAAGTGGGAAAAGTACTCCGGTGTGAACGCGGCTATATACTCTATTCGACTCATTTGATGTTAATATATACAGACAATGGACAAGAAAACCAAGTTAGTTAAAGCAGGAGGGCAGAAAGCACTTATATACAAAAAAACCTTCTGTACTTAAGGGTACTTAATTATAGCGTTTCGGTCTAAGACCCCAAATAATTTGGCAAAAAAACTCAAAACGTTATAAATTGTTTTAAAGAAATTAAAGGCTAAAAGTAAGAATTCAATGAAGTCATTTACAGGACTAAAATAACACATTTCTGGCACTCTTTGTATTATTTAAATATGAATAATGCTGAAAAAACCCATTATGATACATATTTGGATATTTAGCGACATCTGGTGCTCAAAGGTGGTAATGTTATATGAAAGATAAATGATAATAAAATAAGGTATCCTTTTATTGACTCACAATTTGGCAAATGTTTTAGTCCCAGCTCATGTACATGTAAACAGTGAAGGATATATATCTAATTGAGTATCTTTAGTGAATATACAATATAAATATACAGAATAGAAGTCAGTGTACTTTATGACAGCC